CTGAGGGTTTTTACACCTGTGTTCCTGAGAGATATTGTTCTTTACTTTCCTCGCAAGACCTTAAAGATTTCGTTTTACTTTCTTCTTACTTGCATGGTGCGTGAGAAGTCACAGGAAATGTTATTTTCTTTTTTCTCCTATACATAAACTTTCGTTCACTTCTAGTTTCTCTGGCATTTTTTTTTCTTTATGTTTGACTTCCTGAACTTTGAATATTTTATACTAGCGTGCAGGTGTTTTCTCTGAGCTTCTCAGATCTCCGGTTTGGTGTCTGACGTTACTTTATGAAAATTCTCAGTTGTGTTGCTTCTAATGTTCTTCTGTCCCTTTCTGTCTAATCCTTCGGTTAGTCCCAACATATATATATTCTACTTTTTGTAGTTGTCTCAGAGTTCTTGCATATTCTTTTTTTTTTCTCTCTTTAATTTCCAGTTTGGGAAGTTTCTGTTAACATATCCTCAGGCTTGGAAACCTTTCTTCTCCCCTGCCCAATTTGCTAATGAGCCCATAAAAGGCATTGTTCATTTTGCTACAGGCTTTAGATCTCAGGCATTTCTTTTTGATTCTTTCTTAGGGTTTCCATCCCTCTTCTGTTACCTGTCTGTTCTTACGTGTGGTCTACTTTGTCCTTTAGCGCCTGTAGTAAAAGTAATTATAAATTAAAAAACATTAGGTTCTGATAATGCTAACATTTCTGCCGTATCTGACTTATTTTGATTTTTGATCAGTTTTTTACAACTATGGTTTTGCTATTTAGAATGCCTTGTCCTTGTTTCTTGGTAGGCAGACATGGTGTATTGGGTAAAAGGAATTAGAGTAAACGGCTCTTTAGTAATGTGTTGGTGAGGTGTGTCGGGAAGGAAGCATTCTATTATACAAGCTCATGATTAGGTCCTGGTGTTTCAGTCTGTGCCCCTGAACTGTGAACTTCATAAATGCTTCCCAGTATATTTTTTTTTTTCCATTTTTAGTCGGGATAGGATGACTAGCAGGGACTAGAGTTACATATTTTCCTTCTCCTTTTTGGAAGCCTGGAAGGATCTGCAGTTGGATATTTCTGTTCTTCCTGGTGAAAGGCTAGAGCTGGCTGTAATCAGGTAATTTTTCCTCTCCCAGCTCAGCTGGGCTTTGATAAACCTCAGTAGGTTAGGTTCTGGTAAAAATCTCTTCTCTTGAGGGCCAAGCCTTGTTACAAAGAATAGTATTCTGTTATGTCAAAAAATGGATATTTTTTCTTTACTCCTGGAATTATGAACTTTTTCTTGGATCTTCAGCATGTAAAGCTGCTCCAATTCCTATAGATAAAACTTATGAAAGTGTGAGGACCCCAAAGGCTGGATTCTCCTGGATTCTCCATCTTGTCCACATTGGGTCTCCAGTGGTTTGTTAATTACAGCTCAGATTTTTCTGCCCTGGTGCTGGTTCCCATAGATGTTTCTATTCCTCGGTTTCAACTATGGTAAATTGTCATTCTTTGTTTCAAACCTTTCTCTCCAGAGTGGGTGATGGCAAATTACATCTGACTGAGAATCGTTGCTCTTGGGCTTACAGTACCCATCTTTAACATATCACAATGAAACTTCAAATATTATATCACTTTTCCTTCATTCCTTCTCTCCTTTGTGCTATTGTCATGCATTTTATATGACATACATACGTTATAAACCTCACAATGCATTGGTTTTTTGTTTGTTTGTTTGTTTGACTTTAAACAGCCAATTATCTTTTCATGGTTTTTTTATTCCTTTGGGCAGAGCCAAACACCTTCTGACATTTTTATCTGGCCTGGAGAATTTTGTAACAGTGTTTATAGCAGTTAATATAGAATTTATATTTCTGTAAGTCTACTGAATATAGGCTCGGTGCCTGTGGCTTAAACGGCTAAGGCACCAGTCACATATATCTGAGCTGGCGGTTTGAATCCAGCCTGGGCCCACCAAACAACAATGACGGCTGCAACCAAAAAATAGCCGGGCGTTGTGGCGGGCGCCTGTGGTCCCAGCTACTTGGGAGGCGGAGGCAGGAGACTCGCTTGAGCCCAGGAGTTGGAGGTTGCTGTGAGCTGTGACTCCACACAGCACTCTACCCAGGGGGAAAGCTTGAGGCTCTGTTTAAAAAAAAAAAAAAAAAAAAAATTAAAAAGTCTACGGAATATAAATTCTTCCAGCTTTTTTCTGAAAAGTCTTAATTTCATTTTTATTTTGGAATGGTTTTCCCTGAGTATAAGACTCTCGGTTGACAGTTATTTCCTTTAAGTATTTTGACTATGTCACTCAGTTGTTCTGAGGTGTGTAGCTTCTGATGAGAAGCCTGCTGTCATTCTAATCTCTGTGCCTCCGTATTTTTTCCCCCACTGATCACCCTCCCTCCACCCACCATCCCCCCTTCCCTCCCCTCCCTCTCCCCTTTTGCCCTTCTATATTTAATATGGCTTTTTTTCATTTTCTCTTTATCATTGATTTTTAGAATCTTTATGGTGATGTGCATTAGTTGGTCTTATTTATTTTTTTCATTGGAATTCATTGAGCTTATTGGATCTCTGAGTTTGTAGTTTTCATGAAATTTGGAACGTTTGGGCCAGTGTTTCTACAAGAATGTCTAATTTCTTTTTATTACTCTCCTGTCTTTTTGATTCAAATTATGTTTTTGTTAAATTGTGTCATTGACACTCTTTCATATTTTTATAGTCTTTTTCCTCTGGTCACTTTATTTTGGATAGTTTCTTTTTATTACAAGTTCTACGTAAGAGATCAGTAGTCTTTTTCGGTGTCAAATTGACGTTAATCTCAGTCAATATGATTTTCTGTTTCAAACACTACATATTTAATTTTTAAAAGCTTTGTTTTAAATAGAGTAGAATCTCTGTAAGTTGACCGCTCAAGGCACTGTGAAAAACTGGTCAGTATACAGAGGTGGTCAACACAAGGAGCTAGGCCTGCTGTACTGGTACATACATGTGGTCCATGTCTGTGAACATTAGGTCAGCTTAAAGAGCTGGTCATTATAGGAGGTGGTCAACTATGGAGGTTCTACTGTATGTAAAAGGAAAGATATATATATTTAGAAGGAAAGAACGATATATATATATATCTCACACATGTATGTGTATATATGTGTGTATGTGGAGAGTGGGGGGGTCACTCTCATTTCTTTTCTCTGTTATTTTCTGGGTGGATTTCTGGGTGGATGCTGGGTATCGCACACTGTATTTGTTGGGTGTGGGATTTTGTTGTACTTCTCAAAATACTGTTGCCTTTCTAACGAATGAATAAATTGCTAAGACTAAATTATATCTTTTCGAGGCTTGGTTTAAGCTTTACTTGAAAGATAGAGAACAACCTGTAATCTAGGACTCCTACTTAATCCTACTGCTAAGGATTTCTAAGGATCACCTCATATCTCATGTTGTAGGAGCCATTTTTCTTGCTGGGAACATGAAGTATTCATGGCCCTGTGGGGGGTCTGAGATTTGTTCAGCTTGCTGCTTTTTGGGGCTTCCCTCTCTGGCCCTTGAGAAGATTTTATTCACACATCTACAGATCAGTGCTCACCCTGAAATGTGAGGGGGCCCTTCTGTGACCTCACTTGGTCCCTTCTGTTCCAGTAATCTGCCTGTCAGGTCCCTGCTGCCTGGGCCTTCCCAGACTGTATCTCTATCTCCTCAACTCAGCAAGGAAGGCGCTGAGACGTCTGGGTTCTGACTTCCTCTTTCCTACTGTGTGGCTTTGAAACTGTTTCCACGGAGTAAGTTAGGGCCGTTGTAGGCCTCTCTCATCTATTTTATTTTTCTTCTCCCTGGGATCATAGCTTGCTTAGTTTTCCAGTGTGAGAAACCTTTTGATTACTATTTTTGGTTGTCTTGTAGTTGTTTAAGACAGGAAGGTGAACCTTATCACTGCTGCTTCTCAGTATTCGTAGGCAGAAGGCCCTCACTCGGAATTTTGCTTTTCCTTTCTGTATTCTGAGCAGTACTGTAGGTTTCTGCTAATGTGTCCGGGGCCTGGGGGCCTTTGGCTCTCAGTTTGTGTCATTGCCTTTCTTAGGATCTTGGTAAGAATCCTGTGTTGCCTGTTGAGGAAATCATTGCTAGGGAACATTACAACCCTCTTTTTTATAACAGGGAAAGTGATGTCCTGAGCAGAGATGACACAGATTTTGCCTAACTGTGGCCTCATTTCATAAGAGACACAATACCTTGGCCGCTGGTTTTTCCTCCCATTGCTTGTGGCTTTTAGCAACAGTCAGCTGATGAATTCACCACCACTCCCTTCTTGGTTGCAAATCCAGAGACGTGAATTCTGCTGTGAGAGCCAGACGTGCAACATGCTGAGCTGGTTGGTTTGTTGCCTGGAAAATTGTTGGGGGCAAAATTGATACTGTGATTATGGAGCTTTTCAGATTAAAGATGTTTGACTCTCAATGATATAAAAGAATTTTGTGTTATTCTAAAGACAAGATGGGAGTTGATATGGGCTGAGAGACAGAAAGAAGCCCCTAATTAGTAAACTTGTCAGTGGATGAGTATTACAGTGGATGAACAGATTCTCTGCCTGCTGAGGATAGTCCTGGTTAACACCTGTTGTTCTAGAATAATTATTCAAAGGGTGCCCTTTCATTCTTCAGAGTGTCATGGTCGTGTGACCTTGTATATACAGTACCTATACACAAAGGGTGCCAAAAAGGCATACATGTTTTAAGAAAGGAAAAGACTGTATTAAATTTGTAATAGTCAAGTCACATTTGACTTCTGCTGTTACAAGAGGTGCTCAGTGTGACTTGTGTTAATCTTTCATTATTGGTATTGAGTATATACAGAGAGAGAGAAAGAGGGAGAGGGAGATTCTACTAAAAGGGAATGTTTATGACTATGCAGTGTCAACTCCTTGCCTGCTGTCATTTCCTGAGTGGTGGATTTACTGTTTGCTTTGTATTTTAAATAGCATGTAGTCTATACTGACTAATAAATGTGTTCTTTAAAATCTTTGGTGTTCTTCCCGTAGACGATCTCAATGCCACCCACCAACACTGTGTTCTGGCTGGTTCACAACCTCGGTTTAGCTCCACCCACCGAGTGGCAGAGGTAAGTGTAAATAAAAACATGACTCCCACCTAATGGGATGTGACAGACGTGGTTGCACGAGTGATTTATCATAGCGCTTTGGAAGAGCATTTGATAGGAAAATTGCTTCCATCCAACTTGCCTTTGGGCTCTGTTTACTTGCTATTTTAGCTTTGGGTTGTGTTGGATCCAGTTTTAGACAGTGTATTCACAGCATGGGCTAAGCATATTTTGCTTCATGGGGTTGTGATTCTTGGAGAAGGAAAATGCCATTGGCAAGTGTCGATAGTTAGAGGTTTATTTAGGGAGATGTACCTATCAAAATACAGGAAATGGGAGGAAGGGAACGGGCTGGATTTGTGTGCTGGTGCATCTGTTAGCTGCGGCTGCATTCAGATGGTCAGGAATTTGCTTTTCCTTTAACTTTTGGTTAGACTTCTGGGCGTGTGAACGTAAATTGAACGGAGAATTATAGAAGTGCCGCGGAGTTTCTGAGCTCCCCACTGTGTTCACGGCGTAGACTTTATTGTTACCTTCTCCTACCCCTTGTAATGGCTAATGGTCAGCTGCTCAGACTAGTTCAGAGGGGAAAATTTAAAAGTGAGAAAACTCATGTTAGTCATCCTGGGGTCTCATTGCTCGGTGGAGAAGGGTTCGCGAGAGCAGGGGAGTATCCTGAGAAGGATGCAAATTGACCTCCCACCTGGGCCTGTGATCCATGCTTTGCTTTAGAGTTTGACTTTTCATGGACCCACAGGGGACAAGTGTGAGAAATTGGGTAGAAGTGATACAGAAAAGTAGCAGGGACACAGGCCCAGGGCCTTCACCCTCGGGACTGTGTGGGTCTGCAAGGCAGCGGCGTGTCTGCTGGAAATTAAGGAGCTTTACTAGGGGGCCTGGCATGTGCTATGTGGCAGGACAGAGTGAGTAACCATTGAAACCAAGTTGCCAGCAGGCCCACTGTGCATTTCTTCCTTTCTGTCCCCCTTTCTTCTCATGTCCGTTCACCCATTCACTTAAATATTGGACTGTCAATTATGTGTCCCGCGTGGTAGGCCTGGGAGATAGAGCCACTAGCATGACCATTGTGTCCACTGCCTCTGTTGAAGTTACATTTTAGTTGGAGAGACAGATTTTAAATAAAGACGGAAATAATTATCTTAGATGCCTGAAAGAAGGTCTGTTAGGAGGGAGGGAGGGGAAGAAAGAGGAAAGAAAAGGAGGAAGGGAGAAAGGAGAAAAGGAGGGAAAGGAGGAAGGGAGGGAGGGAGGGAGGAGTAAAGGAGAGAAAGGAGAAAAGGAGGAAGGGAGGGA